AGGTTCATTGGCTCTGAAAAAGTCTGGAAGGACTGGACGAAGGTTCTAGAAAAGGAAGAAGCCAAGAGCAGTGGTGGGAAAATACAGCTCACCAGGCAACAAGGAGCTCATGGGTCCCGAGCCTACGAGGGTCTGCGCCTTTGCAAGGGTCAACACGAACCCCCTAGGTTGGAGGAATCAGGAGGGTTAAACACAGAGGCCAGTGAGTACTGAGTGACACACAATATGTTTCCAACACCGTGGGGTCTTTAGGCTTCTATTGCTTCCTGGGCCATGGTTCACAGGGTCATAAGGTGGCTCAGAGCATGGACAGCATGTGTTTGGAGATTGGCTTGGCCACTTGGTCCCTGTGTGGCCTCAGATTAGTCACTTGACCTCTCTGAGCCTCTGCATCATTATCGACTATGAAGAAGTCTAATCACGCCCATCTTAGAGCAGTGTAGGTTAGGAAGACATACATGGATCCATCCAAAACTGGGACGGGGAGAAAAGGCTAAAACTGTTTGCGATCTGGGGCCTGCAGTAGCTCTTATTATTTTGGAGCCATGAGAGGAGAGGAAATTATGATCTAAAAATTCTCCTTTTTAGATAATAATAGGAGCGAGTCAGAGCACTTTGAGTGAGCGTCACCAGCGTGGGACGGGGAGGGCGCGGTGCCAATTGTTTGCTTTGTTTCTTAATCACTTGTTTGTGTATGAGTGACGGAGCACTGGGCTTGAAGTCCAGACCCACCTGGGTTCAGATTCCACAAGCCGGTGGCCCTGGGCAAGTTGCTTCATGCTGAAGTTCAGTCTCCTAATTGCCAACTGGGGGTGGGTGGAGTGACATTTTTATCCATGTGGGGAGGTTTTAGAAAGATAAAATTAAAAGATGTCGCCATCCAGCTTTCTTGGTGCCCAGCGCTTCCCAAGTACTCGGCACATGCAGTGGATTCCTCTCTGCGGGTAAGACACCACAGGGCTGTCCCTCCACCCCAGACCTCCCGTCTCTGGATTCCCTGTGATGTCACCCTCCCCCTGGAATGTCTCCTGGAGCTTGGATGGTGCTGCTTCCCACGTGAAAGAGCCGAGAGATCCCAGCTGCGCCTGTTTGCTGTTGTTTGGGCTTGGGGCCGCACCTGGTTCCGAGACCCCGAATCTAACATTTCCCACGATTCCTGATACTTTACTCCCCTAAATGGGTCGACCTGGAGGCCCCTTCCCCTGCCCTGGCCCTGCCTAGCCACCTGCCTGCCCAGTGCTCCTCCCTGCTCAGCGAAGTGCTCTCCAGGTGGCTGGCCCAGGGCAGATGCTGTCTCCTCAGTTGGCCCAAACAGCGCAGCACTCTGGCCTGGCCCAGAAAGGAAGAGGGAGCTGGGTTGGGGGGATGTGAGTGGGCAGTTGTGTGCCAGAGGCTCCTTCTGCCTGTGACCAAATCCCTGGCCAGGGTTTGAATCCTTGACCCCTCTGTGGTCCTGAGCAGGTGGTGTCACTTCTCTGAATCATGAGGATTTCATGAGACCCAGTAGCCAGACTCTGCCTGGGGCCCCGTTGGCCAGGGAGAGCTGTGAAGAGGGTCCTGAGAGGGGGAGCAGCCAGAGCAGAGGCTCGGGGCATGACCCGAGACATGAGTCCTGGCCCTGCTCTGGGCCTCGGTTGCCTCACCTGTAAAACAGAGTCAATAAAAGTTCCTATAAGTAAGGAATGTAGGGAAGACTAGGACAACTCATAGAAATCAACCCCAAGTATTCAGAGCAGCACCTGGCACGTGGAAAGCGTCGGGTTGACGCTAATGACTGCTCTTCCTCTTTCCCTACCTTTCACCCTACCCGACTCCATATAAAGTGCCCAGAAAATGAGCAGACTGGTCCAAGGGCCCAGGAGAAACTGACCCCACCCTTCTGGAATCTTCTCCAACTGCCTGAGAAATCAAGGCAGCCTGGTTGATAGAAGGGGGAAAAATGATATTTTTGAGATGGGGTGTGGTGTTGCCAGAGCAATAGCACAGCGGGGAGGGTATTTACTTTGCACACAGCCGGCCCGAGTTTAATCCCCAGCATCCCATATGGTCTCCAAGCACCCCCAGAAATAATTCCTGAGTGCAGAGTCAAGAGCAATCCCTGAGCATCACCGGGTATGGCAATAAAAGGAAGGAAGGAAGGAAGGAAGGAAGGAAGGAAGGAAGGAAGGAAGGAAGGAAGGAAGGAAGGAGAGAGAAAAGAAAAAGAAATGGGAGCCAGCCAAGAAATCCTGGCCATTTCTTGGCACCCGTGGCAGTGCTCAGCCCTCAAGGAATCTGCAGGGCATTGGGGGTACCTGGGTTCGGTGGGCTGGTGAAATTCAAATAGTTTTCTAAGGACTGGCGGAGGAATGGGCATCCCCAGGGAGAAAGGAGAGGGCTTCCGGGAGGAGGGGGGCGGAGAGAGATGGGTTGCTCAGATAAAGAGGACCAGTCTATGGTAGTCCTACTTGCTGCCAGTCATGCACACAGCCCACACTCTTCTAGGTAGTGAAGCGCAGAGATCCTAGGGGCCAGCAAGGCCAGCGGAGGACACTCCCCCCCCCCCCCCGTCCCTCTCCGAGCCTCTGGGCTCCACTTCCTCTTCTCTCCAAAGAACCTGCTGGCCAAAGCGGTGTGTCCCAGGAGCTCACCCTGAGAATCTTGGGGTCGTTTGTACTGAGTTTCTTGAGGCCATTCAGACCATATCCCCTTGCCACCTCTGAACCCTCCCTTCCTTGTTTCAGGCAGAGGGGCCTTCTGCAGGTGGAGGGATGGGGTTTTGGGGGGCAGTTTTGCACGGGAGAGGTGAGGGGCCTCCCCGAATCCCATCACCAGCAGACTTGCAGGGAAATAGACTCAGCCCCTTCCTCCCACTCCCAGCTGCCACAGACTTGTGGCCCCGTCCACTCATTCCACACACCCAGACCCCTGCCCCCACTAGGTTCTGCCCACTCTGTAGCCAGCTGCTCCCCTTTTCCCAGCACTGCACCCCAAATAGTTTCCTTTCTGCTGGGGGAGCTGAGCCATCTTGAAGCGTGGGGCCTGGTGATTACACTCGTCAAATGGGGGAGTGGCCATCTCTGGGGGCTGGGATGGGGCAGGGGGCTCAGCCCCGTGTCTGGACTGGATGAGGCAAGGTCTCTGCCAATCAGCTGGGCCTGGATCCAGGAGTCTGTCGTTATGTGGGTTGTGGCCACACGTGGTGCTACTCCAGGCGCTGTTGGTGCCGGCTGCATGCAAGGCCTTACTCACTGAACTGCCTCTCTGGCTTCGGGGGTTCCTGTCCAGGTCGCCGCACCCCCAGAACTGCGTGTACGGACTCAGACTTGGGGCCCCAGTTTCCACACCTGCCAAGCAGGGTGGTCAGTCCACTCTTGTCATGACTCTGAACCATCGTGGGATCAGTGCTGCCATGAACAGTGGTCACTGTTATCCTCCGTATTATTATTTTTAGCAAACTGCTTCACGCTGGCACTGTCTGACATCACCGGAGCCTGTCTCAACCAATGACTCATGGAATTCCTTAAGCCCCCACCCATCCCCGCCCCGGGAAGAAACCCACAGGGCTCCCCCCGGCCCCTGACAACCTGCCACCTGTTGGGGACACATCCACAGTGGAAACCACAGCTTGAAAGGATGGTTTGGAAATTCTCTAATTCTCTGAGTTGGGGGTGGGGGGATGGGGAAGGGAGAGTCTGAAATATTGGTTCCTTTCTGGGCTTTGAGTTTCAGATCCGCCCTTGGCAGCACGCCTTGGGGATCATTAGTAACAGCCATAATGATAGTAGAAGCCAATCAGGCTTACGTTTCTGGGGTAGTATCCGCATCTATAAAATGGGGTAATACTGGTGCCCAAAGCTTAAGGAAGAAGTAGAAAATCTTGGGTTCATCTGTGTTGTAGAAGTGAGTTATCTCTATCTGTGTTGTAGAAGTGAGTTTTCTAGCCCACTACACCCAATACCACCAGGAGTCTGGGGCACAAACTACAATACTGAAACGTTAAAATGTGCCAAGGAAGCACAGTGGGCAGGGATGGGGGGGGCGGGCGAAGGAGAAAGATGGTACAACGGGTAGGGTCCTTCAGACTTGACCCACCAGGGTTCGTCTCCAGCATCCCATATGGTCCCCTGAGTCCTGCTGGGAGTGATCCCAGGGCACAGAGCCAGGAGTCAGCCCTGAGTACCACTGGGAGTGGTCCCCAAACAAACAAACTGAGTCAGGCCGGGGGAGGGTAGACTCTGGGTCATTGGTGGGGGCCATCCTTGGGCTTGGGACGGGAATGTGGGGTGCAGTGTGTATTTGAAACTCTATCAAATAGTCTGTAAAAATCCGGTGTCTAAAAAAATAAATAAATAGAATATCCTTCCGCATGGGAGAAAAACAAAGGGAGAGAATGAATTCTAGAATAGGGCTTGGCAAAGTGCCAGCAAAGTGCCACCAGAGAAGGTGACATTGCAAAATGGCCGTTGCGGGGGCTGTGGGGACACCTGCCGGAGGTGGCTGTCCGTTTCTTAGCCCATTTCTTAGGTGGGAAAACAGAGTCAGCAGTGGGGGGAGGGAGGGATAGTGACTGGGTCGGTGGGTGCCCATCCTTGATCTCTGCGGCGTGTCTGAAGAATGTCCTGTCAGTTGTAAATGGAGCTGGCAACCAGCGGCCAGCTGTCCCCCGGGCCATCTCTCCCCTCCCCTTTCTGCAGGACACTGGGTAGGAGGCAGGATGCAGCAGGCTCAGGAGGTATTTCCAGGCCAGGCAGAGGGTTATTAATAACCGGACCTTAGCGCCCGGCTGGGGGAGGGCAGCTGCTCCAGCAGGGAGCGCACAGAGGGCGGGCCGAGCCCGAGCAGGGGAGGAGAGTCCTGCAGCCCGCAGGAGGCCCAAGGGACGTGCAGGCCCCTCCCAGCCCATCTGATCCCTCAGCGGATTCTCTGGGACTGGTTCATCACCTCCAAATACTCTTGTGACAGGAGGCGCTTGCAAAACCCGCCTCCAGCCCTGGCAGCAATAAATAGCAGGCTCCCGGCCCCCGAGAAGCCAGGAGAAGTTTCTAGGCCTGCGTCCCCGACTTGATTAAGCTGCTGGCTCCACGCTAGAGCTCGGCGTCTGGCTGTGAGCCTGGGCCGCCTGGCAGGACAGACGGGCAGCAGAACTCGGGAAGAGACACTGCGGAGAGGAGGGCCCTGGGATTCTGCGGGAGCAGCCGTGGGGGACACCCCTTTGGTGGCAGCTGGGGGGGTTCTGGGACGACAACCCCGTGTGCGCCCGCGTCCTCGGCAGCGGTTGGTTGGTGACACGACTCGGAGCCTGGAGAAAAGCTGTGAAGGCCGGCGCACCCACATCACCTTGCTCTGTGACCTTGGGCAGGTGGTCCCATCTCTCTGAGCTCCCCCCAGCTCTGTAAGCGCCATGGCCGATGGGCAATTGCCCTTCCCCTGCCACTATCCCAGCCGCCTGCGCCGAGACCCCTTCCGGGACTCGCCCCTGTCCTCCCGCCTGCTGGATGACGGCTTCGGCATGGACCCCTTCCCTGACGACCTGACGGCCTCCTGGCCAGACTGGGCCCTGCCCCGACTCTCCTCGGGCTGGCCCGGGACCCTGAGGTCGGGCATGGTGCCACGGGGGCCCGCCACTTCTGCCAGGTTCGGGGTGCCGCCGGCGGAGGGCAGGACTCCCCCTCCTTTCCCTGGGGAGCCCTGGAAAGTGTGTGTCAACGTGCACAGCTTCAAACCCGAGGAGCTGTTGGTGAAGACCAAGGACGGCTATGTGGAAGTGTCTGGTGAGTGCGGGAAGGGGGCAGGGAGCCAGGGAGGGCCCCCAGCGTGCAGGCCTGGGGACCCAGAACCACCCAGGGCACAGCGGGGCAGAGTGACAGTGCGAGCCAGGTGACCTCAGGCCCCAGGAATGCGAGCCAGCCTATCTTTAGGGAGAAGCTTCTAGGGGTGCCCCTAACCCAGCCCGGCCAGGCAGGGGGGCTGAGGGAGGCCGGAGCGGTTCCAATAGGCAGGAAAACTGGCCACCGCCATGAGCTTGGCAGAAGGAACGTCATACCTAAAATAAACAACAGGGACAGAGACAGAGGGCAGCGGGGTAAGGCACTTGCCTTGCATGCCACAGACCTGGGTGTGATTCTCGGCTCTGCGGAGGGTCCCCCCAAGCACCACCAGGCGTGACCCCTGAGTGCAGAGCCAGGAGGAAAAGCCCTGAGCACTTCCAAGTGTCCCCCAGTCCCAAGGCACACACGAAGAAACAGTTACTGAGGTGTGGGGAGCGGGGAGGCCAGAAGAAATGGGGAGCTTGACCCCCACCTTTATCTCCCCCCACCCCCCACATAGACACGCAGAGCGTGAGAGCACAGCCTAGAAGGGTGAGACTCGTGGCCCAGGATGACAATATTCATAACCGACACAGGTTTTAAGTGAATCACCTCCCTTGTCCCAGAAAAGGAAACAGGCGGTGCCTGTTCCGAGGAACCTGCTAACCTTGACCCAGTCCTCCTCGGCTTCGCGGTCTGCTAAGTGTCATGCCCCGTGGCCTCCTTAGCCCAGCTGGCTGGATGCTTGTCTCGGTCTCCTCTTTGAACAGATGGGGGAACTGAGGTCTAGAGCTCCAAAAGTCACTTGCCCATGAGCTGCTGTGAGAATCGGTCTGGGTGACTTACTAGCACCTCCTTGGTGCTCAGGGGCTGTCCTAGCTCCTTCCCCCACATCCAGTCTCCCTCCCAGCCCAGGTCAGTGGACCGACCTGGTCCCATTTTGCAGCTGAGATGGCTGAGGACCTGGAATGGATTCCTCCAAGGTCATAGCATGAGTCAGCATGAGGGAGAGTTGGGGGCCCAGCCCTGTCAGGGCCGTGAGAGGATGAGCTGGAACGGGAAGAGCAGACAGGGAGTCTCAGCTGCCTTTCAGCTGGGCCCCACCAGGGAAAGCTTTCTCGGCTTCCCTGGCAATTAACGCCCCATTATAAAGAGCATGTTCCCGGCAGGCTGCGGGCCAGAAAATCAATAAAAGCCACTGCAAACACCAGCTAGGCAGGACAAGCCCTGGCAGGCGGCACTCAGGGGGAGTTTCAAAGCAAGGCAGAATTATAAACATCAGAGGATCAGGAGGGTGTGGTGGGCTGGCAGGGCAGGCGGGGAGGGATGGGGGGACGGCCACCTGGGAGCCACAGCTTGGGGAAACCTTGCTCTGAAACTGGCTCCACCATCAGCCTGTGGGGCTCAGAGCTTCGGAAAGTCTCTGGGCTTTGTTTGCTCGTGTACAGATGAGGTTCAGGATTAAGGTGCTCGAGGACAGTTGTGTTACCCAGGTGGGCGCGTGCCTGCTTGTCTGGGAAGTTGTTGAAAGATGGAGCAGAAAGATCCCCCAAGGCATTGCCCATAGGAGCTGCTCTTGGAGACCTGGGTTCAAATCCAGGCAGTGCTACTGCTCACGCTTGGGGTACACGCAGAGGAGAAAGTCGTTTCACACCCCTGAGCTTCAGGTTCCTCACCTGCAGCAGTGAGGGGTGGAGGAGGGGAGCGGGGCATCCTGTCTGTGTAAGGAAGAGGAAGTCAGGAGGGCCCAGGAAGTGCTGTTCATGCAGGTAGCACCTGCTTGGCTCTGCCTCCAGGGCATGGTTCTCTTGCCTTGGCTTCCAGCTCTATTTTAATTTTTAGGTTTCGGGGTTTGTTTTTGTTTTTGTTTTTCATTTTGGGGGCCACGTCTGGTGATGCTCAGGGGTTACTCCTGGGGGTGCTTGGATGCATATGGGATGCCAGGGATCGAACCCGGGCCAATTGTGTGCAAGGCAAAGACCCTCCCCATTGTGCTGTCACTCTGGCACCTCCAGCTTTGCTTTTGCTGGGGTTCCAGAGTCTTCCACCCCAGGTTGGGGTATCTCCCATGACTTGGGGTCCCCCTCTCGCCTCATCCCCCAGGAAAGCCAGGAGGACTTTCTCCCCTTCCCTCTTACCAGCAGCTTTGGATAAGTGGGTTTGGCAGTTCCAGGCTGCCAGAGGCATCAACTGAGTCACAGGGTGTCTGTTTTCACATCTGTAAAATGGGGCCATTGGAAACTCATGACACAGACAGGCAGAGCCTTTGGGGTTGTCAAATGCTTCACAGGTGTGCACTGGGCAGTGTCTGTGGGACAGACCCCTTCTCCCAGCCACACCTGAGAGAGGACAGAGACTCAGCTCAGAGACTCAGCTCAGAGACTGAGGAGGATACTAAGGGGTCAGGCCAGGAACAGTCACCCAGCCCTAGTTTGACCCACTCCCCAGCTTCGTGTGACCTTCTGGTACCACTGAGTGTGGTCCCGAAGGCTCCCAGGTGGCCTTGGTGCTCCCTGGCATCACCCCTGCACCCTCAGGCCCTGCTTTGAGCTATCCTGCCCCACTGGCTGAGTGTCATTGGTAGTATCCCACCCAACCATGCCAGGGTGGGGTGGGGAAGGAAAGACAAACATGGGGTCCTGGCAGGGGGATGGGTAGCCCCAAGTGCTGAAGTATGTATTTTGCCTGTATGAGGCCCCAAATTCTTTTCCCAGCAAGACGTGTCCGCCCCACCCCCAGCCCTGCCTTAGATGGCAGGCCTCCATGGAGCAAGTACTGCATGGTCAGGTCAGACAGTGCCCAAGTCTTGCCAGAGCCTCCCTGGGCCCCTGGACATTGCTCCATAAGCCCCACGGAAGAAGAAAAGTCAGTCCGATCCATGTCACAGGTGCCCTTTACAAAGCAGGTGACCTCCAGTTTCCTATCTCTGCCTGCCCGTGTGAGCCTGTCAGCTCCCCCTGGGAACCCCCGGGAGATGTGGGTGGGCTTGTGGCACTCGATTCACAGATGGGGAAAGGGAGACCCAAAGAGAAGCCCTCCCCCTCCCCCGGCACTCGCCTGCCTCTCCATGTTGGGGTGTGACATGGGCAGGAAGTCTTGGGGGGGCTGCTTCCTGTTCAGGGGGCTGCCTGAACTGCTGAGTGTGGGCCCCATAGAAGCCGGATCCCTCTGGGGCCTCAGCGTCACTGCAGGCCTTCTAGGGGAGGTGGACTGAGATTTCCCAGATGGCATGTTCTCAGCGTTCTTGGGCATCTGGGAGCTAGAGGGAGGAGGGGGGGCAGTGTTTTAGAAAGTGTCCCACGAAACCAACTTAACTACAGAACCTCGGGCCTGAGGGCTGGTACAAGTGGGTAATTGACCACTTGCCTTTATGTGGCAAATCCTGGTTCAATCCCCAGTGCCCATCTGGTCCTCTTAGAGCACTGCCAGAAGCGATCCCTGTGGAGTTCATGCCCAATTCAATCAGCTAATTAGTGGCTGAATAAATAGCAGTACTCCTACAAAAAAGAAGAAGAAGAAGAAGAAGAAGAAGAAGAAGAAGAAGAAGAAGAAGAAGAAGAAGAAGAAGAAGAAGAAGAAGAAGAAGAAGAAGAAGAAGAAGAAATCCCTGAGCACAGCGCCAGGAGGAAGAAGTCCTGAGCACTGCTGGGCATCCTTCCATTTCCTCTTCCACCACTCCCCATGAAAAATCACACACTCAAAACCACAAGAAAAAGGAGGACCCTCGGGGATGAAGCGATAGCACAGCAGTTAGGGCATTTGCCTTGCACACGACCAACCCGGGTTCGATTCCCAGCATCCCATATGGTTCCTTGAACACCCCCAGGAATAATTCCTGAGTGCAGAGCCAGGAATAACCCCTAAGCATCACCGGGTGTGACCCAACCCCCCCTCCCCCCAAAAAAGAAGACCCTTACTGCAGGATACATTAGAGTCTTGGCTGTGTTCATCCAACTTTGGAATCCGCCCAAGACAGCCCTGTATGACCACACATGGGTGTCTGGTTCTAGGGAGGTGCTGGGAAAATTCGACACTAGATGGTTTCTGTCTGGCCTCACTGCTCCGGCCCTCCCTGTGACCACCAGCCCGGACATGTTCTTGTCATGTGCTCCCAGGCCAGGCCCTGGCCCAGGGAGGGACTGGGAAGCTGCAGGCCTGGCTCCTGTCCTTTCTACTCTCCTCCTGAGCCTCTCTCTTCCCCTGTGCCCACACCTGCATCCTGTTCTCTCTCGCTGAGTCGGTGACGGTGGCTGTAAGGACCCGTGACTTGCCCTGGCCACCAGATAAATTCTTTTTTGTGTTGTGTTTGATTTGGAGGCCAGCCCCCCGGACCTCCGAGATGAGTTCTTCAGAAACCATTTAAAAAATCTTTCATGATCACTTTTATTGGTTCACAAACAAGAAATTTCCAGGGCAGGGCCCAAGAGCAGTCCAGCGGGTAGCATGTTCTTTTTGCCTTGCATATGGCCAACTTGGCACCCCATATTGTGCCCTGAGCACTGCCAGGAGCAATCCCTGAGCACAGAGCCACGAGTAAGCCCAGAGCACAACTGGGTATGACCCCAAATCACCCCCCCCACCACCATTTCCCCCCACACCGGGATAGAAAAGGTAACTAGGAGAAGAAGCAAAACAAGGAATTCAGAAGCAAAAAGCTTCAAAATGAATTTTTTTAGCAACTCTCACTTCCACTGACACCAGTCCCTTTCCCGCCACACCCCCTGCCTTATAGAAATCTGGAGGTGCCCCTGCTCAGAGATGCCCTCCCCTCCCTCACCCCAGGAATCCTAATTCCAGACCCTGGACATAAAGGTAGTTTAGCTTCAAACCGTTCTTCCCCTTCAGACAACAAAAGCAACCCCAAGCAACCCACTCTCCACAGTATTTTCGCAACTGACAAAGCAATTCTGAGACGCCCCTCCAGCATTGGAGAAGAAAATGCGGACCATTTGGGCCTTTTACAGGTTTCTGCCGCGCAGGGATCCGCTTGGCTGGGCGCACTTTCAGCGCTCTCTCTCTTTCCCCTGCGGAGATAAGGCCGCTCGTTTCTAAGTCCCAGCTGAAGTCAGCTCCCGTTGGAGTTAGTGACCCCGTCATGAGGCCATTGCTGACACTCCCATTTTATTTTCTTTTTGTAGCAGTAGATTAAAAAATTATCATATAGCTGACTTAAAAAATCCTTTTAATTAGTTAGTTTTTAAAATTGAATCACAGCGAGATACATGGTTACGAAGTTGTCCGTGATTGGGTTTCAGTCATATAATGTTCTGACAACTGTCTCTTCACCAGTGGACATTTCCCACCACCAATGTCCCCAGTTTCCCTCCCATCACTTTGCGATCCTTCAGTCGGCCTCTATGGAAGGCACTTTGCCTCTCCCTCCCTCCTTCCCTCCCTCCCTCCCTCCCTCCCCCTCTCCTCTTCTCTCCCTCTTTCTCTCTATCTCCCCTTTCTCTCTCTCCCCCTCCCCCATTTCAGAGAAGAATAAACTAAGGCCTAGAGAAGGGTAGGTCTAAATGTGACCTTCTGAGCACCCTCCTGGGGTTGACCTAAGTAAAAGAGAAAGGAAAAGGAAATATACTAGAAAGGGCAGAGCAAGTCTTTAGTCCCACAACTCCCTATCTGCGTTTGAATCTCTGCCTTTCCTTCCAAGATGTGTGACCTTGCATGCATCATGTCACCTCTCTGAGTGTGGTCAGCCGGGCTTACAGTCCAATGTGAGGGCTGAGGATGTAGTGCTGCTCGGGCCCCACAGTGCTCAGTAGCCTCCAGGGTTGCCCCTGCTGATGCCAGAGGCCAAACCCAGGGCAGGCACCTACCAGGCACGCACCCGAACCACTGGACTGTCCCCTGTTCACCCCAAAGCTCCCACTCTCTGCGGTGGCCATAAGCACCAAACACGGTGCCATCGATGAGGTTCTTCCAGCTGTGGCTGACAGCGTATCAGCGCTGAGGCCTTGGCTATGTGAGTCTTAGGCCCAGAACTCTCTGTGCAAAAGGGCTGAGTCAGAGGCACTGGCCCACCCCCAGGGAAAGCAGCCAATGACGGCCCAGGCGGTAGGGAAGGGAGCCGGGAGCACACAGCATAGCCCTGGCCGGGGGCCTGGTTATAACTGGGCAGTGGCCCTGGGCCTGGCTTAAGGTCTGGAAGCACCCCACATTCACAGAGCATCACTCAGGGGGTGTGAGCCAGAAAGTGCTGTAGACAAGCAAGTTCTGACAAATGCATCTCTTTCTGCGGGGAGACAGCCGTCCACAGGGGGATTTGTTAATAGAGATCAAGACTTAGCCATTGTAGAGCTTGGACTTCCCCAGAAAGGAAGGATGAGGCTGGGTGTGAAGATGTAGTGAGGAAGGAGCACTTTGGCGGGGTGTGGGGGGGAGGGTGTCTTTCTTCTTGAAAATCATCTTGGTACCCTGCGTTTTTTTTGGATGATGGGGGCAGGGGTAGTTTGGGTCACACCCAGCGATGCTCAGGAGTTCCTCCTGGCTGTGCACTCAGAAATCACTCCCGGTGGTGCTTGGGGGACCATGTGGGATGCTGGGGATCAAACTTGGGTCAGCCACGTGCAAGGCAAACGCCGTCCCCACTGTCCTATTGCTCCAACTCCAGGATTCCCGGGGTGAGGGAGGGGAGGATACCATATTTGGGACTGAGTAAACTCTTCTGCACAGTCGTAGAAAATCATTTGCTGGAAGAACATTTGCTGCAGTATGCAATATACACATCGAAAATAATTACGATGTGTTAGCATGAGATAAAAACAGGTTTGAAGCTGAGACAATATGATGCAATTTGATAACGCTAACATGCATTTCTGAATAATAGAAAAGTCTGGGACATATACAGAAATGTCATTAGTTGTTTCCTCGGGTGAGGGGATTATGAAGGTTTTGAATTTTTTTTCATTCTCTCTATTTTCTAAATTTTATGACACTTGCATTACCTAGTCTTCAGAGTTCTTATTAATAAAGGATGAAAATCATTTTTTAAAAATAAATTCCTGGGCCCAGGGAGATGACTCAAAGGACCAGAGCACATGCTATGGTGCGGGTTTGATCCCTGGCACTGCAAGGTGCCCTGAATATCCCAGAGCACTGTGCCAGGGGTGACCTTGAGCACAGCTGGGTGTGGCCCCCAAACTAAAAATTTGAATAACAATCACCAATATTATTATTATTATTATTATTTTTTTGCTTTTTGGGTCACACCCGGCAATGCTTTGGGCCATAACCCCGGCAGTGGGGTTACTCCTGGCTCTGCACTCAGGAATTAACTTCTGGTGGTGCTCGGGGGACCATATGGGATGCTGGGAATCGAACCCAGGTCGGCCGCGTGCAAGGCAAACGCCCTACCCCCTGTGCTATCGCTCCAGCCCCTATTACATTAAAAACATTAAAGACATTCTTCAGGGGCTGGAGCGATAGCACAGGGGGTAGGGCGTTTGCCTTGCACGCAGCCGACCCAGGTTCAATTCCCAGCATCCCATATGGTCCCCTGAGCTCCGCCAGGAGTAATTCCTGAGTGCATGAGCCAGGAGTAACCCCTGTGCAGTGCCAGGTGTGACCCAAAAAGTAAAAAAAAAAAAGACATTCTTCGGGGCCAGAGGGATAGTGCTGATATTAGGGTGCTTGCCTCGCATGTGCCCGATGCTGGTTCCATCCCATCACCCTATCTGGTCCCCTGAGCCCTGCCAGGAGTGATTCCTGAGCACAGAGACAGGAGTAAACCCCAGGCACTGCCAGGTGTGGTCTGAAAACTGATGGTGGGCTGTGTGTGTTGTGGGTTGGGGGGTGGAGAACAGCAAACAATATTAGGGACACTCTGTCCCCGAAGGCTCTCTGTATCCCGGGTGCCCACCTGTCCTCACGGGTTCCTGACCCTCCCCCACCTCCACAAGGGGCCCACCTGTGGGCAGTAGATAGTGATCCAAGCTGTTCTGCTCTGCTCTAAGCTGGTTTAAAGAGAAAAGAGCTGCACTCTCCTCTGGAGGGGAGAGAGGATGAGGTGAGCCAAGCTCGGAATTAGTTATATAAATTGTAAGATGAGCACCAGCCTGGCCCCAGCCCCGGTGTAATTTCATCAGTTTCCAAAGACAAAAGGCAAGCCGAGTGGCCCCTCACCACCTCCCCCCAGGATGCAGCTGTGGCCTTTCCTGTCCCAGGACCTCCAGCTCTCTAGAACTGTGGGAGAATGGGGCTGCAGGCTGCGGCTGCATTTCCAGCAATTTCTTTCTGGGCTGGTGCAGGTGATGACACCCAGCAGCATTTGGCTTAGAGTCAGAACCCCACTGCAAACGGGGGTGTGGGGGGTGGGGTGGGGAGTGGGGAAGGGATCACAGGCCCCCAGTGCTATTACCACCCCCTTCTTCCCTAACTCCCTACAAAGGCTGTTTCACTCAGTGAGGTCAGATGCAAAACTTGGGGAACAGGGTGGTCTCACGAGTTCTTGGCTAGAAACTTTGATCCGGGTGGCCCATCTCACCCGCCTGCTCTAGCTTTTGTCCATGGAGGGGATGAGGGGCTTGCAGCCACACCGCTGACCCACGCCTTCTTCTCCCTTCCAGGCAAACACGAGGAGAAGCAGCAAGAAGGGGGCATCGTTTCCAAGAACTTCACCAAGAAGATCCAGTAAGTAGAGGCCACGTTGCAGGTTTCACAGGCCAAGAACAGGCTCTGCGTGTGGGTTCCAGGCTGGGCTCTGCACAGTTCCCCGAGCACTGGCGGGAGTGATCCCCAAGTACCACCTGGCGTGCTCCCACACCAACACAACAAAACATTAAGCAGCTCCATGAAGTCAGCAAGCAGTGTGGCCTGCAGCGGGGACCTGGGGGGTCCCGAGATCTAGGGTCTTGTCCTCTCAGGCATCGGGAACCAGGACACTCCCCGCCCTACCGGGCTGACAGTGCCCCAGCAAGGAGGAATGCCCAGATGGTGCCTTTACTTCTGCCATGTCGTGCCCGGAAGCAGAGGACCACAGTACATGTTGAAGATGCAGATTCCGAGGATGAAAGATTTTAGTTCCATGGAAAAGGGGCATGCAGACCCCTCTTCTGTGTGTCTGGGGTATGATAGCCATCACCCTCAAGTTGGACCCTCCTCTGCTCCCCAAGACACCCCAATAGTCTCTTCCAGAGGCTGCTTCCTGGGGCTGATCTGTGCTAGAAGAAACGGCCCTCCCTTCAGACACTCTTGGCCTCCCCATTCTGCAGGTTTAAGATAGGAGGAGCAAACGAGGGTGATTTTGTCGAGGGGAGTGACAAAGGTTAAGCCAGGGAATGTGTGGACCACCTTACGTGAACCCCCTAAGGAGCGAACCACATCATCAAGGGGAACCTGGGACTCCTTCGAGGTGCTGAGGCCTAAGGCAGTACCCCCCCCCACACACACACACCAATCACCTCACTCTCCACCCTCCCTAGCACCTCAGGGCCCAGATCTCCCCACCACTGAGCCCCCTCCGGTTCTCCTCCTTGTTGCACTTCACAAAAGCAAGTGTGTGATGAGAGTAGGTGGTCCCCTTCTCATGTTGTGGGTAGATTCAGTTGTCCAGAGGAAAGAGCCCACACCCGAGGTCAGTACCCCTGGAAATTCGGACCAACCCACCCAGAAACCCGACCTGAGTGAGTTCAGGGCTTATTCTCAGCACGGAATGAATGCCCTGGACACCCTGGTCAAAGGCATGGAGGCAATATTCCAGACTGGTGGAGGGACCAGCTGCAAGAAATGAGATCATGGCTTGGGAGGGGGGCACCGGCAGGACCCCCCAGGGCGATCGGTTATTTCGGTTACTGCTCTGATCTTTGTCTTCACCCGTGGTCCTGGGCAAAGGCATCCCCTGTGGGAGAGGTGGCAGTTGAATGCACTGGCTTCTGTCTGCTTTGGGGGGTTCTGTGTGGTTCTGTCCAAAGCCAGCGCCCCTTCCCAGCCTGGCTGCTGCTTCAAATGTTCTTGGGAGCCCGTGAGCATTTCCTGATAAGGCAAAAGACAAACAGTTTCTTTTTAGGCTTGTCACTTGCCTGCCTTCCCCCTACCCCCATCCTCCTCATTTAATTTTTAAAAATTTTTATTTAATTTTATTTATTTATTTTTTTTCTATTAGTGAAACGCTCTGGAGCGATAGCACAGTGGTAGGGCATTTGCCTTGCATGCAGCCAACATGGCCGACCCGAGTTCGATTCCTCCGCCCCTCTCAGAGAGCCCGGCAAGCTACCTAGAGGATCTTGCCCGCACGGCAGAGCCTGGCAAGCTCCCCGTGACATATTTGATATGCCAAACACAGTAACAACAAAGTCTCCAATGGAGACGTTACTGGGCCCACTCGAGCAAATCGATGAACAATGGGAGGACAGTGACAGTGATTTATTTTTTCTATTAGTGAAACACTCTGGAGCGATAGCACAGTGGTAGGGTGTTTGCCTTGCACGCAGTCAGCCCGGCAGAGCCGGGTTTGATTCCTCTGCCCCTCTCGGAGAGCCTGGCAAGCTACCGAGAGTATCTCGCCTGCACGGCAAAGCCTGGCAAGCTACCCATGATGTATTTGCTATGCCAAAAACAGTAATAACAAGTCTCACAATGGAAATGTTACTGGGCCTGCTGGAGCAAATTGATGAACAATGGGAGGACAGTGCTATAGTGCTACAATGAAACACCATGAGGTACAGCTGTAGACTTAGAAACTTTCTTGCATGGGTTTCAGTTATACAATGATGGAGTACCCATCCCTCCACCAGTGCCCATTCTCCACCACCAATGATCCCAGTAGCCCTCCCACCTCCCAACTCCATCCCCCCCACCCCGCCCCACCTTTGTGGCAGGGCATTCCCTTTTGCTCTCTCTTTCCTTTAGGGTGTTATGGTTTGCAATAGAGGTATTGAGTGGCCATTGTGTTCAGTCTATAGTCTACTTTCAGCATGCATCTCATTTAAGCCACTTCCAAGCCCAGCAGAGGAGGGAGAGATCTGGAAAAGGAGAGGGAGGGAACTGAGATTTCCTTCTAGAGACTCTTGGAAAGTCTCAAGCATGGAGTCACAGACCACAGGCAGAGCTGAACCAGGCTGGAAAGTTGCAAGAATCCTGGTGGTGAATCCCCTGGTGGGTTATTTTGGGGGTGAATCTCACTCTCTCCCAGGCCTCTAGGAAAACACCTAGCCAGGTCATAATTGCTTAATGAATAATAAATGCTTCAAAATTTCTGTTGAACGTTGCTTAAGAATATGAGACCAAGCCGGTACTCTGAATACCCCAGCATCCTTCATAAACAACTGACCAGCCCTATGCCCAGGACCTCCTGTCCTCCCAATTCTTATCCAGAAAGGCCCCTTAGGATCCTCCTCTGTGCAGTTAGCAATGTCCAGCGAGCTGTGCTTAACTATTTTGAATTCTTCCAGGGAGAGGGGGAGGGTCCTGGCTCTGTGGGGGACTTGGAGGAACTTGGAGCAACTTGCTGAATCGCACTGAGCTTCAGTTCCTGCCTTTGGTCACCAACAGAGAGAGAGAGAGAGAGAGAGAGAGAGAGAGAGAGAGAGAGAGAGAGAGAGAGAGAGAGATTGTGGTGAGGAATGAGAGGCCGTGTGCAAAGCACCACACACAGGCACAAAGACTCAACCAAGCCCAAATTGCCCCAGAGCTGCTGGGACTCCTAGAACTTCTGGGGACCTACCCCAGATTCCAAAGACCCAGGAGAGGGACAGGAAGTTGGAATGTCCTGGCCCCCAGCAAAACACAGGTCATCTGAGGAAAGAGAAACTCCTGGCAAATTGAGATCCCGAGACACACACACACACACACACACACACACACACACACACACACACACACACATAGTGGGATGCCATAGTGAGGAAATTCATTCCAACACATCTGTCCTGGGATGACTGATCCCATTTTGAGTGCATGGGCAGGGAATTAGCCATCAGCTGGGAGTCAGGGCAGCTGCCCCGGGACTGGCTATTTCCCACATTTAGCTTCAATGAGTGACCAGAGGGCAAGCGAGACTGGAAATGACCCAGAGAGGTGGCTCAGGGCCAAAGCAAACTTGAATCGCTACTTCTCTCCACAAATCTTTCCTGCCTACCCCTGACAGACAGCCATGAGAAGCTCAGAGCCATACAAGAGATTTCTAGTTTGATTCTGTCTTTAAAAGAATCCTCAAGGTGGTCTTGTTCGGACCCCGTGGTGAGTGGTGAACTGCACAGTTTCCCCTGTGTAATGGAAGAGCATTTTCTTGAACAATCAGGGTCCTTTGAGGGTGCTGAGGTTTTGGGGCTCAGCAGTACTACAGCTTATATTAATTACTGAGCAGTTACTATATGCTAGACTCGGCATGAGACCTTGGCTCTTCCTAGCTCATGTAATTCTCCTACTGTCCTAAGATATACGATGTAGAACATTCTTTTCTATAAGGAAACCGGCTTGGAGAAGCAGTGTACTAGTCCATGGCCTTGTAGTCAGAAAGAGGCAGATTGGAACTAACCGTGATGTCCTGCTCCGGACTCCGGTTCTCTTCTCTGCCTATACCTGGGGCCCCTCATCCTGGTGTGCAAACAGTAAAACAGAGTCAGCCTGCCCCCAGCGGAGACGTCCCAACTTTTGTTTTTGAAGAAACTGAATTCTAGAGAGCCTCTTTCATGTATAACACAATCCCCGCCCCTCCCTGTCCCCTCTAACCAACTCCTAAAAATAGTTTTGAACCGGGGCTGGAGGGATAGCACAGCGGGTAGGGCGTTTGCTTTGCATGCAGCCGCCCCAAGTTTGATTTCCCGGCGTCCCAGATGGTCCCCTGAGCACCGCCAGGAGTGGTTCCTGGGTGCAGAGCCAGGAGCAGCCTCTGTGCATGGCCGGGTGTGACCCAAAAAGAAAAAAAAATGTTTTGGATCTGGAACCAGATTGGAGTTCAGAAGTCGCCTCTTGATGCCTTCTCACTGAGCGTGTCATTCAATTTCCCAAAGTCCTTTGTAAATGATCTTTGCAATGGGTATATCAAGTCTTAGTAAGCAAAAGCCAAAAGGCACTGCCTTCTTGCTTTATAAAGCTCCATCTGGCTAGTGCCTTTAATCACTGGGGAAACAAAAAAACTGTGACCAGGCACTTAACAAGACTCAAGGCTTATTTAAACATCATGGAGTATGTTGCTACCAGAACACTAATCACATGACTGGCCTGACCCCTTAATCCTCTGTGTCCTGATCCACCTTTAGTTTTCTGTTGGTGATTCACCTTGGCAGTAGAGCACTCCCCAGCAGGCTTATGGTGAACATAACTACATCCAAGGCCTAGAGACACCTTGCTTCTGCTCTGGGAGGGGCTGGGGGAGGCTGGCCAGTGGCGAGTGCTAAGATGGAGAGCGAGCTCCTCCAGGATCGAATTCCTGGGCCACCGCGTCCTTGGAAGTTACCACTGGAGTCAGCTTTGTACAGCTTTGCCACGCAGATTCACACCCTCTCATCCTAGAGACCCAAATATTCTTCAAGTGTCGTATTTATCATTATTTGGCAAGGGAAAGAACAAACTCAGGACAACTGAGTGACCTTCCCAAGGCCACCAGACTAAGAAGGGGCCAAGGCAGGATTCAAACCCTGCATTGTATGTTCCCAAAGCCTGAGCTCTTTTTTTTTTTCCAGAATTGCTTGCTTGCTTTGTAATGAGTGGGAAAGAGTTTCCGCTGTATTAAACACAAATAAATGAACGAAATGTGTTCTTCTTCTAGGCTTCCTGCAGAAGTGGACCCCATGACAGTATTCGCCTCGCTTTCCCCAGAGGGTCTGCTGATCATCGAAGCCCCCCAGATCCCCCCTTACTCAACATTTGGAGAGAGCAGCTTCAACCATGAGCTCCCCCAAGACAGCCAGGAAGTCCCCTGCACCTGAAGCCCCCCTCTTGGCCCCTTCATGTTCCCTCCCCAACCCCGGGGCTTCTCTGATTCCAGGGTACCTAACTTTAGCTAAACTCATCATAGATTTAGTGTGACTGAAATGTTGGGGGTGGGAGTGAACTGACCACAGATTCCCTGGATATTGTAGTCATAGGTATTTTCCACGGGGTGACGTGATTGGCAGGTCATGCTCAGTCGCATGCAGCCAAGATGCTGAGAGTTTTGTCTTTTTTGACTTCTTTTTTCTATAGGGTTGAAAATTTTGCAAAGAAAATATGAGGGGGACATAACATTTCATATTGCATCTTGCCTTACAGCTAAGACAAGGGTTGCTTTTCTCTGGGGACCTCCCCCTATGGCCCAGATTCTACTCTGGGTTCCCAGTGTCCATGCCTGCCCCACAGTGCGGTCGCTGGAGTCTGCCTGGTCACCGCACTGTCCTATAGCCCTGGCTGACAAAGGGCTATAAAAAGGTCTTACATCCCCATGTGGGATTTAGCCAACAAGCGCAGGAGAACAAACAGTGCCTTCTGCACCCAGGCATTCTGAATGTCCCTAGCCTTCTGCTTCTCCCAAGCATTCTGGAGGCCTCTCATTTCATCCTCTGGCTCAAGTTCCCCCTTTCTTGTATCTCTGTCCAAGTCGGGGTTTTTACAGAGGGAGCTGTCTCCGGACAGCCTCACCAGGAACCAAGCAAAGGCCAGACAACCTGGCAAGCAGGCTATTGGTTTTGTGTTTATGGGTGGGACATGTGTGTTCTTGTTATTTGATCTGTGCTATTGTTTAGGGGAAAAAACATTACATGATGATAAAAAAAATAATAAAGGAGCTGATGTTCTTAGCCTGTGTGTCCTTTGGATGAGGAAGGAAAAGCTTTTTCATTGAGATCTGTCTTATCAATTATGACTCCTCATGGCTGCAAATAATGATGCCCAATGAAGAGTGACTTTACAAGAAGTGCTTGTTAAGCCCAGGATTCTGGGTTCCCAAGCGACGAGACGGACAGAAACATGAACTCAATAATGCAAAAGCAGTAGGAATTTTATTCCAGTATACTGGGGTCAACTATCTCACCCACAGAGTGGTCTCTTGATAGTGACCCTGACTTCAGGCAATAAGCAGTTTATATAGGGCTTGATTACATAAACAGTATATGCCTTGTTGTTTCAGAAAGAAACCTTAGTTACCAAACAAAAATGGTTTGGCAAGTGTCTAGGGTAACAGTAGTCAGGCAATAGTTAAACAGTAGTTTCCACTAGTTTCCATTAGCAGTTCATGGTTACATTTGCTACTCATTCTTTTAGAATTAATAAAAGACAAATTCTGGGGCATTTTGACTGGGGCATAATGATTGATTGAGCCCACTTGTTGGGTCCAGGAACTTTTCAGGTGGGTTCATGTTGGCTAGTTACACATAGTTTCATTGCTGGGAAGCTGAAATTATTTTAGTTCTGTAAGGGAACCTGAGGCCTAACTGAATTTGCTGATTTCTGCCGCCTGTCATAGCATTGCGCTGGAGTGATAGCACAGCAGGTAGGGCATTTACCTTGAACACAGCCGACCTGGCTGACCTGAGTTCAATTCCTCCACTGTGTAAACTCATGAAAAGGGCACTGCACACAGCGGCGGTGGCTCTATCTCTCCCGCCGCCCACGTTCGGTAGTCTCACCCTTCTTCCCCCACCCCAGGGAGGTCGATGGTGATGGGCAGGCAAAGGAAGGAACGAGGGCCAGACTGGTTGGTTTTAGTTGCAGTTTATTCCAATCCTCTCTCCATCCACATCAGTCTCTCTTCTCTGCCTCTGCCTCCGCTTCTTCCTCCCCTATGCTACTTCATTCTCTTTCTCCATCCCCCTTTATCATCCTTCTCTGGAGTCTGGATTCTGATCCTTCTTTCTCTTCCTTCTGCTCCCCTTCTCCTTCCTTCTGACCCTCCAGCCCACTCTTCCAGTACAGTTAATCCCAAAGCATGAGGGGTTGGGGTAATCATTACACATAGGTGTGGTCACAATCAATAGGGGTAGAATTCTTTCCCTCTTTCCCTGGGGACATCCACTCCTAGGACAGATCCTCATTATCAGATCAATCCACCCTAGAGCGGATTCTCCTGGGTGTGTTTCTCCTCTCCTTGTCTAGCAAACATATAAGCATATATAATATAAATCATTTTGTATGGATACAGTAAGAAATATCTTAAACTTACAGAATTGCTCTCCTAGGGCCATCTCGATCTCGGACTGCAGTGCTCAGGCCAGATAGTCTTTCCTACCCCTAGCAGGATCCTAGTCTCGTCGTTACTTTCGGATCATGACAGCATTTGCCTATGATCAAACTCTTAACTTATAGTTAAGAATTGTGGCACTTTGGCCTGGCCCATTTCGATGCCAGGGTAGCTCACCGCTTGCCCTGGGTCCATTCAGTCCCTCGTCGGGACCCTACTTTTGGGGTGTTAGGAACTAAGGGCAACTGACGCTTAAGTCGAGAAAGCAGATGCCCGGGAGTGAATAATATTCAAAGCCAATCAAATCCTAAGTTACAAAGCATAATGTTAATGGTCTTCCTATATCTATACAAAAAGAGCATTGCTTTAAAGTAAACTGTTCATAAGGCATAAGGAGAGGAGAAAGGCAATATTTCACTCATACATATAAAATCATAGATTTCTGAGGAATCTGACCTTACAAATTAACAGAGTCTGATTAGGAGGAAAGCTGATTAATTGGTTGGGGAGGAGACCATAGGGAAGAATGTTTACAGATAAACACAATGGAATGGAAATGCCTCAGGAGCACTGTGATGGGTGTAACTAGATAAACCTAAGCTCCTTGTGGAAGAAGGACAAAGCAATGTCATCCTACACTCCACCTTCGATTCCTCCGCCCCTCTCGGAGAGCCTGGCAAGCTACTGAGAGTATCTCGCCTGCAAGGCAAAGCCTGGCAAGCTACCTATGACATATTGGATATGCCAAAAACAGTAACAAGTCTCACAATGTTACTGGGCCCGCTTGAGCAAATCAATGAACAACGGGAAGACAGTGACAGTGACAGTGACAGTCATGGTGTCAGTTTCACCCTTACAATGCAAACATCAGATTGGAGAGAATAAGACACTTGCCTTGCATGTGGCCATCTCCTGTTCAATTTCAAGTGCTGCATGTGCTCTCCTGAGCACTACCAGGAGTCACCCCTGAGCACAGAGCCAGTAACAGTCCCTGAGCACTGCTGGGGGTACCAAAAAAAATACCGAAGTGTAGAAATCAATGATTTCCAAGTTATTTTGTCAGCTGCTGTGCTACCAAGAACCCAGGGTATTTCCATCATTGCCCCAGCCATTCCTGACAGGTGGACGAGGTCTGGTTGGCACCAGTTTCAAGCTTATTAGATTATTTAATTTCAAGCTTATTAGGCAGAGAAGGCTGGTCTTCTCGCCCAATTCCTTCTATCAGCAAGCAAGAGCATTTCTCGAAGCTCTCTCTCAACAGATTTCTTCTTTGATTTCATTGACCAACTGGTTTATGTTCATCCTGAAGCATCTCTCTGCTGGCCCCAAGCCACGATGGGCTCAGATCAGTGCCAAGGAGGCTGGGAACATTGCTGTGGCCCAGTGAGGCTCCATTAGGAGAGAGGGAAACCACCACTGCAGTGAGGGCAATCTACAGAGCCAGGGTTCCTCTGGGCCCTCTCCAGACCCAGACCCACATGCAGAGTAGAGCAGGACTGCGAGCCCGGAACAAATGCCTTCCTCACTGGCTGTGAGGAAATTCAGTCTGCAATGAACCAAACCAAAAGAAGCATTTATTGGGCCAGTGGAGACCTCTAGGATAAGGGCTGCTTCCAGTTTGGCTCCTTCTCTTGGCAGGCAACTCCTTCTCTCCATTGCTTGTTACTCTTGTGCTGCCAGCCCTCCTGTCCCCTGTCCTCACTGGTCACAGGATGGCTAAATTCACTATGGTTGACCTCAGGGAGAATGGCCAAGAGTTTTCCCCCATAGCTTCTGCCGTATTTACAAATCGTTCTATTTGAATCAGCATGGGTCACTTAATCACATCTTCCCACGTAGACCAAGAAACCATTGCTTTGATTGGTCAGCTCTGGAGCCAATCACATAGACCCTGGGAAGTAGATATATATCGTAGCAGCACAAGGGTGAGGCTAAGAGGGAAGTTCCCTTGGATCATAGAACTGGATCCCGTCTGCTTGGGGAAGAGCTGAGGAGAGGCCTCCGAGTTGCTTTTCAAGAGTACCTCCAAAGCCCCAAATGACAGCAGAAGAGTTCAGGCTCATTTCCTGAGCATCTCCTCCCTGCATCCTGTTCTAGGAACCAAGGATGCAATGAGCCGTGTGCCAACCCTGCCCATCAAGGGCTCCCAAACCAGAAAAAGAAGCAGATAGTTCCAGGTATGCCTCGTCCTCTCTAGACCCTTACTGTGGGGACACACCGTGCCAAGGGCTTTATGTGTATTAATACATGGAGTCACCCTCTGCTCCTATGATTTGGTCCAGTTCTTATCTCTGACTAAGGGATTCCTTAAGGGGACTGAGGCTAGGAAAGGTGAAGTGCCCTGCCCCAAATCACACACCTGGTACATGAGGGCTGGCTGCCGGATCCAGGGTCTTTGCCATTAACTATTACACTCTCCGTCTTTCCCTGCACAGAGCATTTGGTGCGTGCCTGGAGTGAGTCTGTCTCATTTACGGAGAAAAGTAGAGCTACTATCTCAAAAGAGGGGAGGGGAGGGGTCATTGGGCTCTAGGGATAGCTTTTAGACTAGGGGCTCTACAGAGAAGGGGGGTGTCGAGAGGATTCTGAAAGCAAGTTACCCGAGGAAGACGGGGTTAGACTAACAAATTCTGTTTTTTGAGTCTGGTGATGTTCTCTGTGAAAGACCAAGAGGGAAACACAGCTGGTTGCTCCTTGTTCATAACAGTGACTTCCTTTGGGTTCAGGGCCAGAGAGTTAGCACTGAGGATAAGGTGATTACTGTGCACAGAGCTGACCTAGGTTTTATCCCTGGTGCTGCACAGGGTTCCTGAGTCTCGCTAGGAATCAGCACAGATCCAGGAGTAATCTCCGAGCACTGCTAGGTGTGGCCCCCAAACAAAGAGACCCCAGATTGCTCTAGGCTTGAGAGATGTCCACAGTAGTCAGACTTGAGTGAGCATGGAGGGAGATGAGGACGGTGTTTTCTTGGTTGCAAGCACACTTGCCTGCAAAAATCGCAGTCACCCTCAGTGAGCTTTATCTGGAGAGACACAGATACTCCCCAGAACTCTGAATTCCAAGGGTTTTTCCTGTCTCTGTCCTGTCCATTACTGTGTGGTCTGGGCTAAGTGTCCTGTTTGGTCCATCAAGTATTAAACAGGCTCAACAAAGTGGATGAATGAGTGCAAGGTCAGGGGTGGGAGTGTTTAGAAATAAGGACAAGGTTTCCCTCCCCAGAACCCGGCTCCTTTCAGCTCTCAGAGCTCCCCGTTTAAGGATCCCAAGGGGTCCTTTGCATGGAAATCGGTAACTTCGACCCTCCCAGAGTTTTCCAGTGAGCGACCAAGGAGACTTTTCCTGAGGCTGTTGTGAGGTTCTGCCTGTCTAGAACCCGGATCCCCCCGAAAAGTTTGCTCAGGAGCCCCCCACCCCCACCCCCTCTCCCCACTGCTGCCAGCCAGCCGCCTGCCACTGGTGATGTATGGAGATGACTTGATCTGACCTTGAAGGGAAGAAACAAATTAATGTGTCTCGAAATAAATTCCGGGAATCGGTGGCTGGCTTCTCTTCCTCCCCCGCCTCTTGGCATCTCACGAGCCGTGCATTATAATGTGGAAATCAATATCGTGTCTTTTGTGC